ATACCGTCTGTACTCTGGGTGTCTATAGAATTTTCAAGCGTGTGGTACTCTGGTCCGCTACTAACATCAGCCTCCCTATGGTCAGTTCTTTCAAGACCGTAATATTCTGGACTATCATTACTCGGCAGGGATTCACGTTTACCGGTGGTCTGATGTATCGTTTCATTTGTCCCATCAGCAGGGGGTTCTAGTGTAAAATATGACGGGACTCCAGATTCACTTGTTTCCTCAGCATGCACTGTTTGATTATTTCCGTCTCCAACACTTTCTTTTAATTGTTCCTCTAAAACATGGTATTCAGCAGCACCTGATAATATTGAATCTGTCTGGCTGTCGGGTAACACCTCATCCAATACAAGGTACTGTGGAGTGTTGACTGGCGTTCCTGACCTCCCAGATTCAGAGTGATTTAATCCTTTGTTTTCAGTTGCACGTGTTGTGCAAGTATCTTCGTTGATTGCATAGTCATAATGTAGCTCTTTTATATTCCCAGGTGTGATCTTTTGACGAATCTTTGCTCCAGGTTCGTCTTCGTTTTTTCTTCTCATCCCATTGGTGTCTTCTGGCAAAATCCTCTGCCCAGGAGTATCTTCTAGTTCAATGTATTCCGGGCCAATCTCGTCATAGGTTGGTTCGCATATTTCTGAAGCATAGTCGTAGTGATTAGTATTTCTTATTGATTCATTGTTTTCCAATTTAGTTTCATCTGTCCCATAGTCGTTGGTTGTTTTTGTCGGCGGTGACCTAGTTTAGAATAAAGTACAGTTAAAGGACGGTAGTGGTTGCGCCACGCATGCGCGAGATATATGGGTCTCATATAAACAAAGATGGCGACTTTGACTGTTGTGAAGATCAGTGAGTACAAACTGATACGTTACAAAGCTTCAATTAGATGTAATTAGTACAAGTCGCGCCCAGGTAAAACCTCATACTTGTGATTTCAATTAGTAGAGCGCAATGGATTGTGGAAAATCAATGTTTATCAACACAAATGTCGCACATGCGCAGCGCGTCGACTGCCGCCCTATATTATGATGCACACCAATGAAATTAAACTACTCTTTGTATTATATCTGTAAATTAAGATACCAGTTTGAATAATATTTATAACCTTTTATTTTCGTACCTAAAATAAAATTTCATTTCTCTCAATAACATGCCTAACATGAGACTACTTGTAATGAACGTCTGTCTGAACCCAGGTCATTTCATGTAAGATTAGTAGAAGACCTGTGGGCTCTTTCATATAGTCAAACAAAGCGTTGAATCAGTTAGAATATATGTCCATGACTTTGTTTTCTCCGTATATAAGTATTAGAGAGTCTCATCACATCACAGGACAGATTACAAACATCAGATACGTTGTCATTGCAGCCTGAAGGCATAGCAGTACTAAGTAACTGTTGGTGGATGGTAGATCATTTCTTGAACGCGGACACGTGAGCACAGAATAACAATTCAATTCCTTAGATAACATTTCAAGTAGTACAACCAAGAAGTCCAGACATTTTGTTTTATATGACTCACCTGTCAAATTGCCAATAAAATCATGCATGTTTTGCTTTTTTTGTACGATAATTGAAACAGAGTCACTGACCGGAAATGACAAACAGTCAGAATACAACACTTGGCAGAGTGTAATATTCTCGTAGTCATGTTGCTGTTTAAAATATTAAAAATTACCCTCTGAGTGTATGTAGATTGTCTTAATGATATCCGGTAGGATGATACAAAGGACACACTTGTTGAGAATGTTTTTACATTGGCGACCTCCCAGTAATTAAATGGTGCGTTATATAACGCATTGGTGTAATTACTGATAATTAACTTATAAGTTAGAGACGTTTGAGTCTCGTTGACAAAAATACATTGATTTTTGATAATTTTTTGAATGTTTTGGTAAAATTGTCTTACCCTTCCGGTGAATTACTTGAAAATCTAGGACCTAAGATCGACAGTGTGTTGATTTCACGGTACATACGTTATAGTGTATTCCGTAAATGCAAGTCGATTGGACGGCAAGATTTAGAGGGATTTTACGGACATTTATTTGGAAATGGTTATGGAAATTGTGTTCGATGCGTCAAGTTGGTTCATATTTATTAACTTATCTTAGTTTCTTTTTAATCAGACATTTCATTTAATAAAGTTATCTGAAAATCAACTAAATGCGTTGATACTAATACTGCCAGTGTCTGCTTATCGATAATCTTGCAAAACAGGTTCTGTTTTTATATATTTTTGATACCAGTAAATAACAAAAAATAATGCGATTTGCGTACTCAAGACCTGCTCTATTTCGGTAAGACCAGTAGCTTAGGAACTTCATTTGTCTGTATGGCCTGGCGAGACTATTATTCCTGTAACATATCCTACGCGACACACCTCGACATCGTATTTGATGTATGATACAACGTATGTTACAACGTAAGTTACAACGTATGATACAACGTATGTCACAACGTATGTTACAACATAATAGTAATAACTATGTGAACCGTTGCGTTGTTAGTTTTACGTTTGTTACTGTTTCTCTCATCTACATATTTCATTTATCATGTGTTTCATGAGACAATTGTTTAAATCAAGAATCGCCATTCTTGCATGATCACAGTGTAACCAATGTATTCTCGCGAGTCATACAATTCTCGTGAACACCTATAAAACCCACATTTAATAAGATCGGGAAAATAACTTACCCTATTCTGTGGACGATAAGCACAACAAGCACTATGACTACGATGAGTAAAAGAATTCCCAGTACAATTGCTACTATAATACCTGATTGAAAAAAATATTAAATAAAATTAAAGCCCCATTATGAAATGCTAATTCTATTCTCCGTAAATATAGTAACGTTTACTTTATTGAAAAATAGTCAGAAGAGGGTTATTTGCGATAATAGACAAATGGTTATATGTACTAGGAATGGTAAAGGAAGTGGTAGTTGCTGCTAATGAAGAATTCATATATATACTGTAAAATGACTAATTTTCAATGGGTTTAAATTTCGCTGATTTACCATTTCAGGGATATTCAGTAGGTTTTAAATTCATGGTTTTATCATTCGACAATAGATATAAGTGTATTGACTTGCAAAACCAATTCATACTAGTACCTGTTTCCAATACGACTGGCTTAGGTCCACTCGTTTCATCCCCAGGACCAATGACGTCATTGACGTTATCCGTGGTCCTTTCATGTATGTCGATCATCGTCGTGGGGTCAAGGATCACGTGCGAATTCGGAAGTGAGCTCACTTCCGGTGTTATGTCCCTATATTGCGTTGGGGTGGCCGTGATGTCGCTAGTTGTAATAATAGCAACAATTGATGTAACCAAACAATAAGTGTATATTCAATTATTTATCTTACGTATCCAACGGGTCTTGGGGGCTTGCTTTCAAAAGATCACATTGGGTATAATTATTCTCTTTATAGGGAACTGTACGCTTTGTTACTTTGTATTTTTGTGATGTGATTTTATACACAATATATTTTTACTAAATGAGAACATACAAACTAACACTTGATCAGCCACGTGACCCCTCCAGAGAAAAAGCAAATGTTGGTGATGTAAGTGAACTGTCAGTGACTATTTCTGGTAATACATCAATACGCTACCCACCTTTAAATTTGAGTACAAACATTCCTGATGAAGTAGAAGCACGGGTGAGTAGAAAAAGTTGAGCTTCCTCTGAATGTATCACGTGACCGCGAGGAATCGATTCCTCTTCTCCATATAAGGAATACGTTAAGCCACGTGCCGATACTTTCAAATAGTCCCCTTCTCCTAAGCTGAACATCAGCAGCGTTAATTCTATATGATATCCATTTGGAACAGTGATGAACCAACGACATTCGGTGTTGAACGAATAGGGGTCTGGGAATCTTGGTGATAATATTACGCCCTCTAAAGTTGAATATTCACCGCCACATGCTCCGAAAGATGCTGGAGAAACAATGACGACTCAAAATATTACTATTGACTCAATTAAAAAAAATCAAGATATTAAAATAATGATTCGAGAAAATGTTTAAAGTTGGATAATGCATGGCGGTGGAAAGTAAAATATCCATAATTTTCCATAGGTGTACGTTACACAAAATCTTTGTAAAGTAATTCACATTTTTTATACTCTAAACGGTTTTATTTATGTTTCGCATTTATTGGTATGATGTGTTTGGCTGTCGAAAGGTTGTTTCTTTTTCCAAGAACAGAAATAGCGAGTTTTATCTTGCAGGACGCATTTGTAAATTATTTTCAGCTACAGACTAATAGTTATTACAGCTGCTTTACAGTTGCCAGTTTTACCGTTGAAATAATATCAATCAGAGAAAAAAATATCAATAATATTCTAACTAAACTAAAGTCTAGTGACGGTACAAGTATATTGTATTGTTTTAGCTAAATGTCACGCAAACGATAGGGTGTCATTATTAATTATTACTTTATGTGCATTGCTCAGTTTCAGTTCTGTTCACAGGGAATTACCTATAATCGGGTGATTTCAGATAATCGACAATGTTTGTATTTTCCATCAACCAATCGTGGCCAATTGATAGCCGTGGTGGGGTCGGAATAATAACATCGTAGCATGAGATAGTGGAGTGCAGTGGAGTATAACAAATGGAACGCCTCGCCAGCCTTAAAGGATGACAGTCGTCGCGCTGCGCCGCATGTGCGACATTCGTTTGATACACATTGATTTACCCACCATTCAATGAGCTCTTCTAAGGAAATCACAAGTATTGGGTTTGACCTGAGCGCGACTTGCACTAATACCTAATTTAAAGCTTGGTAACTTTCCAGTATATACTCGTTGATCTGCGCAACAGTCAAAGTCGCCATCATTGTTTATATGGGACCCATATATCTCGCGCATGCGTGGCGCGATGACTACCGCCTTTTAAGCTACGATAAAATGTGCGTAATACTCACAGTCATAAACTCCCACGTAATCCTCTGCACCACACATCTGCATAGTATTACCAATGCACTGATAATTACATTGGTCGTTTAACGCTACGTCAAATTCACCATCAAGGCTGTTACCACAGCGACATTTATCGCCATTGAAGACACCGGCGTAAGTATATGTACTACAGTATTCGATACAGAATGGAATATCTACAAGGTCATTGCAAATGTTACGTTGAGAGACCAACGACCCAGTTATACACTCAGTCTGTGGAGTCATGAGGTCTTTGGGTAAACAGCCGATGTACCCTGGAACTGTGACAGAAGTAATGTTAGACTAATTAAATAACAAATTTAAGAAACACGCCCCTTCCACCCAATCAGTTTTTCATTCATTCATTCATTCATTCATTCATTCAGTCAGTCAGTCAGTCAGTCAGTCAGTCAGTCAGTCAGTCAGTCAGTCAGTCAGTCAGTCAGACATTCAGTCAGTCAGTCAGTCAGCCAGTCAGCCAGTCAGTCAGTCAGTCAGTCAGTCAGTCAGTCAGACATTCAGCCAGTCAGTCAGACATTCAGTCAGTCAGTCAGCCAGTCAGACATTTACCTTCCCTTCCGTTCAGTTGCATTCAATTTTTTGACTAGTGTGGTTTATATTTCTTGCGAAAGAGCAATGTTACCCAATGCAGTATACCACAACATCAGTAGAGGGCGCTGTGGTACAAATATCAAAATTGTGTTCCAAGCCTGCCTCCCGGTCTCGTTTCCAGATCTCGATATCCAGTGGAGCTACAGGTTACAGTGTGCCCTTAAACTGTATATTGTCAGTAGTTTGCACCTAACTAAGAATCGACATGGCAGCACACTTTTGAACTCGCTCAGTTCCATTTTCCTGGAATTTCGCGTCATCACCAACTAACTTGGAAAGATATTTTCATTCATTCATTCATTCATTCATTCACTCACTCACTCACTCACTCACTCACTCACTCACTCACTCACTCACTCACTCACTCACTCACTCACTCACTCACTCACTCACTCACTCACCCACCCACCCGCTCGCTCGCTCGCTCGCTCGCTCGCTCACTCACTCACTCACTCACTCACTCACTCACTCACCCACTCACTCACTCACACACTCACTCACACACACACACACTCGCTCGTTCGTTCGTTCATTCATTCAGTCAGTCATTCATTCATTATTTCGTTCATTCATTCATTCATGTCAGTCTTATTTGTACACGTGTTAGAATAGCTTCCCTCTTCTCATACTACGATTATACTTACGATTACATCGGACGCCATTATCACTGTAGCACCACTCAGGCGATGTCATACAATCAGCCAGGGGACCGGAACGTTGCATGCAGTCTACTGAGAGGCTCGGTAAATAAGCATGCGTGTCCTTAATCCATAGTGGGTTCTGCCATACGTCTATCGCACCAGTACTGATACCTAACAAATATAGTATTTAAATTTAGTGTGAAGTCCGCGTGTGTACAAGGTACGCGTTTTACTTCAAGCTTCGGACAGTTTTAGCGTTGTTTGTTTTATACTACTGTAAACATATTTATTTTCTCTGACATGTAACTTGATTTAACTATTTTATTTTTCACTTGGGTTTATTTAGTATTCACTGTGTTTTAATTTCACGAATTTGTCAAGGAAACAATTAGTTTTATTGTTATTTTTAATGTTCATGTAGATTTAATTTAGCAGATTTTACTCATCAGCGAAAATAGTGAAATTAAAACTAATTAATACATTTACAGTATTGCCCGATTCCTTGTTCGACCTAAGAATAATGCTGCTCGATGTAACATTACATTGTGCCACTAGAGGGCGCCTCGGGGAAAATAGAACTGGTCTTCCCTGCATTCTAACACCGTTCCTCAGCACCGATTGTTGTTGAGGGACGGTTATTCAATGCAAAATATCATTTTTGTTGTTGTGCTGCTGCAATTTCCACATGATTTACTAGTGCATTCAAGTTTTTTTTTTGTCAGTCATTAGACGTATGAAGACATATAACTTGAACCGACAATTCGTATTGTCGCCGCTTTCCGTGTATACTGAGTTAACTCATCGAGGGAGTCAGTTAGTAGCGTGTACATACTGGTGTGTACGTGTGATACGTACGTGTCGATTCTCACATCGAAACGAAGTAAATGCAAGGCTGGGCCGTCTTTCATATACAAATGATCACTTTGCATAATATATATAACGCGCACAATAGATCATGGCTCACCTAACATGTCTCTGCATACCACATCGGCGACTTGTAAGTCAAAGTTGGGAATACACACCCGAGTCCACTCATCGCGGTAACGGACTGTCACTCGACCCTCGAATGGATGATTTCCTTCAGCCAAATACACATCGTCGCGATCATACACTTTTGGGGTTGTGGAGAATAAAACAAATAACATTAGATAGAATGAAATTGCGTTCAGGTGAAACAAGGTCAAGTTTCTTGACTATCGGTACTCGCATAATAGTCTACGACAAGACAGTACTACATACTCTTTGATATTTTAACCTTAATATTAATCAAATAGAAACACTTAGAATTTAGTTGATTAAATGAGAGCGTTTTTTTATTTCGGTACATTCGAGTAGATTTGGCGACGGATCAGACAAACACTGCGATAGGTCAAATTCACCCGAGTTTCAGTACATTTGTATTAGACCATTCGTTCAAACTTGTGCCTGTCTTACCTGAATTTACTGAATCCGTGACAATACAAGTGATAATGCCAAGTATAACAACCACACTATGTGGCATTATCGTGATAACCACTACGGGAGTGTTACTGTTACTAAAATAAACACTTTCGCAATGTTCGGCTGGGAAGTACGCCCTCATCGCCCTTAAAGGGGTTTATAGTTCGTAGAAATCATAAAATCAGACTTCGTTGAAATTTTCTTCGTCTTTTTTTTTTCTTTTATGTTAAATTTCTATTTTTTGTTATTTTAGTCATATTTAATTTTATTAATTCTATTTGTTTATTTACTGACTGAGACCATCAGACAATTACAAAAAAAAAAAATTTAAGGAAATAATTAAAAAAGACAAACCAAAAAACAAAAATACTGAATGTAATAAAATGCGGACAAAAAAACAATTGAGACATCGTTTGTTACTTCTCTCAAGATGACTTAAAGAGGACGGTGACTAAAGTATACGTTAGTACTAGTGACACAAGTCACTTCAAAATAAAATGTACTGTCTTGGGGTTTGTTTACGCAACGTAGGCGAGAAAGAGAAGTCTACACCATTTTAGTTATATGCGTACATGTCGTTGTCTCGTATAACGGTATATAATAACATGAATCGTAAATGCATTGAGAGCGGACCTATGATGTCTAGTTGTATCATCTTTCGAAACTGGAAGTCGTTCG